ACTACCAAAGAATATGATATGGCAAAAAGGCCTGACCTTCCTTGAAATTCACATTTGCACTGTGACCCAATGCCACTCGTGGCAATGTTGTAGAGTGGTTAACGGGTCAAGCTTCCATTCTGCACTGCCATGGTTCGACTCCCGCTAAGGGTGTTGATAAGACTGATGCGAAGTCGAAACTGCAGTCCACCCTGGACGAGAACAACTTTTGGGAAAGCAAGGCTATGTGAAATTCAATGGAAACGTCAGCTCTACTCGTATCATTGTGGAAAAATTCTTCTACCAGTCCTTCATCACCTTAAACAAAATTGACTGAATGCATCTAATACTACTGATTTACTGGTAGTCACGAAACAATACGTAAATGCGAAAAATACATTGTGCATGAGTACACTCACTTCGTAACAATATTATTTATCTACATAAAATTTAAGCACATTTATATCAAATTAATTATTTAAGATAGTAAACTACTATATATATAGTTAAAGCTTCTTATTTGGCGTTATTTGCCTATGTGACCGAAGTACACCACTCTGCCGCGGTACTATCAACCACGATGTCTGAAACGTCCCTGTCTCATGATGATCTTTGCAAACTTAAGGTTATCTAACTAAATTTTGTTACTCTAACTTTTAGGTTTCTGAACTTAAAAAGCTTTGTAACCAGTTAAGCATTTCTTCTGTTGGTTGTAAAAGCGAATTGATAGCTCGGCTGCTCGTGAAGGAAGGTATGCATTGCATTATTTCTGCACGAGCGTGTTTACCTTTATATCATTAAGATTGTTTTATTTTTCCTAAACATTGTTAAGATGCATCAAATGAGCCATCTACTATTCACTTGCAACCCGAAGATGAAGCTGAGTTGCTTGGAGACATTGAAGAAAGAGATAATATTGCTGTTAAGGTGAATTTAAAGCACAAGCTCGACATTGACCAAGAAGTTATTGAGACAATTCAGGCCAACTCTGCTACTTCCATAATTGAATCCCAAAATTCGCTGCCCATCAAGATATCGTATGCGAACGGTGAATCTGGATCACCTTCCAAAAAGATGTTGGTCTGTATTGAAGAGAAGCTTTTGGGTTCAGGGGTGTCGAAACTAAATGACAAAGAAGTAAGAATTATATGACAATAATTTGTTTGAGTTATCTGCTCTTTCATGTTCTGTGATATCATTGGTTTGATATTATTTATTTCATTGCTGCAGCAGCATGATTTTCTAATCCGGTAGTCATTTACTCCATCTCGCTCTCAAAATATCTTTGATCATTTTATTTCCTTATTTATATATATATTCATAATTAGCCCGATTTTAGGACTGAGACCGCTTTCCTTCCTTTGATTTCTAGTTTAAGTCAAAGTTTTGATTTCGTGTTGATTACCGAATTATTTAAAGCGTATTCGTATTATCACCTTTTGTGTTAGCTAAAATTGAAGGCACATCCACTTGTGCCCGAAAACTTCTTGTTTTTGCATCTAACTCAGGATTTAGGATTACATCTTATAAAGCTTCGAGCCACATTCTATTAATCACGCACATATAGCATTTAATTTGGAAGCTTTCGGGCTTCGCAATTATCTTATATATACCTCTTTTGTTCACCGTATACCTACCGTACTGATCACTTCCCTTTACTGGTAGTCTCGAATCCCTACTTACTAATATTATGCCATTATAATAATTGAATGTGATCCGATGTTACAGTATTTTGAAATAGTTTTTTATTCTTAGTATCCCTACCTTAATCTTGTTTCTCGAGTCTATAGAAATCCTAATTTATCCCTCAGAAATTCGCTCAACTTGGCATGTCATTTTATTTTCTATCCTTCTTTTTTATTTATATCGTCTCTGTAAAATTCTAGGCTGAGAGAAATACAACTGCGGCACGATTTTAAATGCTCACCGGCAGTAAGATGTCTTAACCACTTCACTTGTCTGTTAATTTTCAGAATTTTTTATTGAGTTACCTTGATTAGGCAGTATTCTTTCGATCTTATTTCACTTGTCTGTTCTATTTAGCGTCTCCTTGCCCGTGCTCAGCGATTTGGTTCATCTGGAGGTGGTCACTGTTCCGGATCTCTGCATTCAGATGAACAACTTGCAGCTCGTGCTAGACGCTTCGGATTACCTGTCGCTCCTAACGGCGCTTCCGCAACCATTGAGTCAAGAGAGACCTCTGTGGTGGATAAATTGAAAAAGAGGGCTGAGAGATTTGGAGTCACAACCAGTAAAAAATTAGAGCTCGTAAGTTGCACTTTGACTGCTTTCATTTAAATGTTTTTCCTTTCGCTTTCATATTTTTTTCTGTCCTCCGATAACTCGTTCCGCAAAAGATTATGATTTTAGGCGTTCTTCATAATCATTTAACTCTTTTTTGGTTTCCAATTTTGTTAACTATACTAATTTTTCTTTAGTTATATTTGTAATTTCACTGCTTTATAATACTTTTTGTCTTTTCTTATTTAGAGTATTTCTTATATTATTTTTACATACCTTATGCACTTTTTTGGATTAGTATTTTATTCTCTTTTCCATGTTAATATTGTACTGACTAGCCAAGATATTCTCTATCTTCAGCTGGATATGTCACTTCTCCCTTCTATAATTGTCATTTAGACATTTTTATCTGGTTCTTACTAGATCTTCGTCTTTAATTTTTAGATATCCAGTTTATGTCTGGGCGAAGGTGCTATTTATGTTATTTGTCATAAATCTGGTTATTATGAACATTTGTTCCTCTGGGGAGTGTTTGAGCTTTAATCATGCAATTTCTGATATGACCTTAGCTCGATGTACTAACATGG